GCTGCCTGGGCCGGGCCCGCGGAGCCGCCGGGGCCGGGAGGGAAGAGCTGGTCCCGGCCCGGAGGGAGCTCCCGGCTCCGCTCCGGCCCCTCCGCTCCGCCCGTCTCTTTGCCGCATCTCTGGAGTTGGTCGTGAGGCTCGGGAGCCCCGGGTGAATTCTCTGCCTCATCCTCCACTGCCGCCCGGGGGGGGGGGCAGGAGGGGGGCTGGGGAGTGATTTCTGCAATCTGTAGTACAAACCAGGAGTTTAGAAAAGGAAACCATACAAAATGCATCTGTTATCTCAAAATACGCTTCTTTATCTCTTTTTTATCCTGCAGAATCTCAAAGCACTTTTTTTTTTTTGTTTTCCTCAGGGAGCGCTGATAATTCTATATATTTTTTTTTATCTTCATAAAAATACCTTTTTTTTTTTTTAATTGGTAATAAACTTCCCTTTACAGTAAGAGAAATAAGAGAGTGTATTATCAAAAGCAGAAAGGCTTCAGACCTGTCAGTGGGAGCTGCACTGGAGGGGACGGTAAAGGCTATTTGTCACCAGCTACGGCGCGTAGGAGGCCTCGGGGGGCTGCAGGCGGCGGGGCCGGGGGTACCTGAGTGCGGCAGGTCGGGGAGCGGGCCCGGGGGTCCCGCCGGGGGTCCCGCCGCAGCCCGGGGCTATGGCTGTGGTGCTGGGGGGGCAGCGCCGGCCGGGCGGGGGGCGGCTCCTCCTCGGGCTGGTAACGGAGGGGTCGCCCCCTCCTCTGTCGCGACCCCCGGGTTGGGAGGGGGACGTCGCAACTTTCCCCCAGCTCTGGGGGCACCACCCTGCCGGGGAGGGGGGTGAGGCTGGACAAGGAGGAGCCCCCGAGGGGGGCTCTGGGCCGGGTCCCGCAGCCTTTCCAGGCGCCGGTGCCCAAGGAAAGCGGCGGCGAAGCGGGGGCCGGGCCGGGGGGCGGCGGGGGGGGCGCAGCCGCGCCAGGCCAAGGCACGCAGGCGTTGAAGGACGTTGGCAAGACAGAAACCGGAGGGGTCGTGGGGCTCCGGGGGCGGGCGCCCCGCTGCCGGGGCACCCCTGCTCCCGGGACAAGTCGGGTGGCTTCGTTCTCGGTTGTTTTTGCGCAAAAAAAGGAGGAAAAAAAAAATTAAATAAATAAAAGAACCCGCTGAGGAGGTTTCTCTCGCTTGTCCGTGGCCCTAGTTGAGCTGGCGACAGGCCTCGAAAGTCCACTTGGTGGCCCCGCCGTAGATGTCGATGTTGGTCTCAGCCCAGGCGATGACGTTGCCGGCGAGTGCCTTGGAGCTGCAGGTGGCCAGCCCGTACACCTCCCCCGGGCTCAGCTTGCGGTCCCACACGTTGAAGTGGGCCAGCTCCCCCACGAAGGCCTGCGTGGCATCGAACCCTCCGCCCAGCGTGTCCTGCGGGGGAGCCGCCGTCAGCGGGGCCGGGTGGCCACGGGGCCACCGACCGAGCACGGCCCCCCCCGCCGCCAGGTGCCCCCTGCCCTTACCTGCTCCTGGCCCAGCACCAGGACGCCCTGCGGTTTGATGGGGTGGTAGGGGGCCAGGTTCTCGCCGTTGCCCGTCTGGGTGCCGTCCTGGTAGGCTTCCCACACGCCGTCCCGCGTGGTCCAGGTGACACAGATGTGGTGCCACTTGCCGTCGTTGATGGCGAAGGGCAGCTTGGCCACCTGCGGGCAGCGGGTCAGGGCGATGAACACCACGGGGGGCCGTCCCCACGCTGCCCCCCAGCCCGTCCCCGTCCCCGCGGCCCGGGCTGTACCTTGTCATTGATGAGGATCTCCATGGGGTTGTTGCCCCACTCGATGAGCACCAGCTCGTTGGCCTGGCCGGGCACGGCGTAGGAGAAGGGGGTGCCCATGCCGGGGGAGGCGCTGGATTTGATCCACATGCAGATGCTGAAGGCGTACATCTCGGGCAGGCTCTTCTTCACCTTGGCGTACATGTAGTTGGTGCGCAGGGGGAAGGTGAGCTGGAACCTGTCCGGGGGCCGGTTGTCCTTCTGGCCTGCGGGAGCGCAGGGGCGGTGGGCTCCTGCCGGGCCCCCTTTCTGTCCCTTTGGGGGTTCCCCCCTCCCCACCCCGTTATGTAACGGGCCTTGAGATGGCAGCGAGGAGCAAATCCCTCCGGCGCCGCGCGGATCCCTAATCCCCGGGGCGGGCAGAGCCCGGAGCATCCCCGGCTGCGGAGCCCGCGGGCACCGGGTGCCCCAGGAGCCACCGAGCAAGGGTTTGGGGTTGGGAGGGACCGTAACGATCCGCCCGGTCCAACCCCTGCCACGGGGAGAGCCGACCTGGGGGAGAGGGATCGGATCGCTCCCGGGATGGGCAACGGGAGCGGCTCCGGCAGCGCCCGGTCCCCAGCGGCGGGGGAGCTCCAGGAGCCGGCCCGGGGGTCCCGGGGGGGCCGCGGGGGGGGGGGGGGGGGGGGGGGGGGGGGGGGGGGGGGGGGGGGGGGGGGGTGGGCAGCGCCCGGTACCTTTCTCCAGGTCGCTGATGCGCTGGTGCAGCGAGGTGAGGGTGCTCTCGATCTTGCCGCGCTCCTCGGACTCGTTGCGGGGGCTGAGCTTGCCCTCCTCCAGGCTGTTCACCCGCGACAGCACCTGCTTCTCCAGGTCATCGATCTTGTTCTGCAGGATGTCCTTCAGGTTGTTGGTCTGGCTGGAGGAGTTCATCCTGCTGAACTGCTGCAAGGGGCGAGCAGAGGAGCGGGGCTGTCAGCACCGGGCAGCGGCTCCCGGAGCTTCCCCGGTGCCCGGCTCGGCGCTGCCCGTGCCGGGATGCGCGGCTGCCCGCGGCTCCCGCTGCCCGGCTGTGCGGCTCCCCGGCTCTCCTCGCGTACCTCCAGGTTCTCCAGCCGGGTTTTCAGGGACTGCAGCGTCTGCCCCAGCTGGCTGAGGGTCTCGGCGGCGGCCGGCCGCGACAGGTCGCCCATGGTGTTTTTGGAAAAGCCCTTCCTGCCCTTTCCCTCTCCGGGCAGCTCCAGCACGCTCTGGCTCTCGCAGCGGCCCAGCTTGGCCGTGAGCTCGCGGATCGTCTCCTTCTGGTTCATGATGGTTTCCTTCTGCTGCAGCACCGTCTCCCGCAGCTGCAGCACGGTGCCCTTCAGCTCCTCGGCCGAGCCGGTGCCCAGCGCCGAGGCCGCGCACACGTCCCCGTCCAGCGGCACCGAGGTGCAGACGAAGCGCGTCTGCCCCAGGCCCTGGGCGAGCGCCGGGGCGAGCGCCGGCCCCAGCAGCAGCAGCAGCAGCGGGGGCAGGAGGCGGCGGCTGCCGGGCGGCCCCGCGGCCATGGCTCCGCTCGGCTCCGCTCGCTCCGGGCCGGCTCCGGCTCCGCTGCGGCGCCGCCGCTTTTATCGCGACAGGGCGGGGCCGAGCGGGGCGTCACGGAGCGCGGAATCCCGGCCCGGGAGGGGGGGCCCCGCGTGGGAGCTCGGCGTGAGCGACAGCGAGAGAGAGCGAGAGAGAGAGGGAGCGTGCGGGGGTGATGCTGTGAGCGTGAGAGTGTCCGTGTGTCCATGTGCGTGTGTGTATCCATGTGTATGTGTGCCTGTCCGTGTGTCCGTGTGTGTGTCCGTGTGTGTGTCCGTGTGTGCGGGGCTCTCGTGTGCCCGTGGGCGGGAGCGCGCGTGGGCAGCGGAGACTGTGCAGGGAAGGGCTGCGGGGATGTGTGGAGGTGTGCG